CAAGGTGTTCGGTGTATGCCCTGGCGACCCAATGAGCCACTGCGCCCACACAGCAGACTCCTGCTGACTGGCAAAATCCAGCACACTCAGTCCCTTTACTGGATCCATAAGCCACCACTCTCTGCGGGGTGACAAATTTTACAAATGAGGCAACCCACAGCCCCTCTTGGACCCTAACCTGCCCATACATCAAAGCCAACTCTGACTAACAGGCAACTGTTGGCCCACTCCCACCCCAGCAGACCCTTCCGTCGATTGCCCACAGCAGAGGCAAGACTCAGCTGAAACATGCAATGAAATTTATTGAAGAGAAGCATTTGCTGAAACCATCGAAGAGAGGGAATGACAACAGAGACAGGAACGTCTAACGGCCACTAGAGACCATAGGTCACGGCCCCCCTCTGACTGCACCACGGATCACAGTTTATAGCAACCCTGAGCTGAGATCCCACTCCTCGGCTCTGTCTCTGCAGAGGCCCCGAGGGTCCTGAGACCACACTGTCCCGGCGAGTGTTCCACTGCTCCCTTAGCCATTGGAGCAACGTCCCTCAGTGGAGCAGACTTCTACAAGTTCCGATTTTGTGCTCCGCTGCTCTGTCACTTGCCAGTAACCGGCTGATGGAGGCTCCCTCCCCCCGCGGTCTATCTTCCCATCGCCTCGGATTCACTTCTCCACACGTCCTACCTTCCAGAAAGTGGTCACTTTTCTGTTCAGAGAGTTGCTGCTATTCTTTTCTTCGATCTCCTGTTGAGTTTGTAGTGTTCACAATGGTTTGATACCTATCTAGCTGAATTCCTGGGACCAGACAAAGTTTAGGTCTCCTACTCCTCTGCCATCTTGCTCACGTCCCTGTACACTTTTTAAATATGTGCCACTTCTTATATGTTAAATGTCTATTAATAAAGCTGTTAAAAATATGAATATGCAGGGAACCCTCTTGCACTGTTGGTGGGAATGCAAACTGGTGCAGCCACTCTGGAAAACAGTATGGAGTTTCCTCAAAAAGTTGAAAATAGAGCTACCCTATGACCCAGCAATTGCACAACTAGGTACTTATCCAAAAGATACAAACATAGTGATTCGAAGGGGCACCTGCACCCCAATGTTTATAGCAGCAATGTTCACAATAGCCAAACTATGGAAAGAGCCCAGATTTCCATCAACAAATGAATGGATAAAGAAGTGGTGTGTGTATGTATATATATAATGAAATATTACTCAGCCATCAAAAAGAATGAAATCTTGCCATTTGCAATGACAGGGTTGGAACTGGAGGGTATTATGCTAAGCAAAATAAGTCAGTCAAAGACAACTATCATATGATCTCACTCATATGTGGAGTTTAAGAAACAAAACAGATGAACATAGGGGAAGGGAAGGAAAAATAAGATGAAAACAGAGAGAGAGGCAAACCATAAAAGACTCTTGACTCTAGGAAACAAACAGGGTGGCTGGAGGGGAGAGGGATGAAGGGATGGGGTAACTGGGTGATGGGCATTAAGGAGGGCATGTGATGTAATGAGTACTGGGTGTTAGATGCAACTAGTGAATCATTAAATTCTACCCCCGAAACTAATAAAAAGTATGAATGTGCAAACAGTATTCACAGAAAATGCTCTGTAGTCATCTCTCACAGCCAGATAAAAGTTTAGAGAGAGACACACATATTTCCAAGCAGAAAGTGGTACAGAAGGCACCCAGAGGAAGAAATTGTGCTGATCACATTATGAAGAATGCTGCAGACAAAAGGAATTCTTGGGGTCACAGGCAGGATTCATGGGCAGGGCCCAGTGTTCAGAAGATATTCAGAGGGAAAGGAATCCTACAGATGGTGTTAGATAACAGGCCTGGCACACAAGTTGCTCCCTGGGAGACAGCACTGTGCAGAAAGTGTTCAAAAATAGTGCATAGCGAGGACGGCCTGGAGCATAGGTCTTTCGCAGAACAGATAGTGTGGTAGAAAACATTCACAGGCAGAGAGCATGTTGCAGAGGCCATTCATGTAGAAGGCTGGGTGGAGACAGTGTTAACAGGGAAGCCCATCAGGAAAGCAGTGCCAGTCTTTCTCAAGCAGCAAGGCTTGAGAACAGGAAATCAGTGGTTTACACAATCAATATAAGGCTGAAGCAGCAAAGATCAGGGAGGCTGCCATTGGAACATAAGGAAGAAAACCCAACGATTGCAGCTGCCTAAAGGACTGTCATAGATGATCCTCAGCAAGTTTTCCAGAAGCCACCGAGAAAAAACATGTGTACCCTATTTTTGACACCCCATAGTGTCCATTGGTGCTGCCAGAGAATAAGGGCTTCTTCTCTTCTGCCTTCCAAATCTGGTATAAGTATCTCTCAGAGTACTTGAGTACCTGGAGGACTGAGCCCAGAAACACTCTAATGATGGATTCTGGGATGCATATTTCTCAGGATTCTCCCTTATATTGAGGAAAGAACGTACAAAGAGGAAAGCATGCTGCATAGTTGCTAACAGTCAGTCCAGCATGGCCCACCTCTTTGACCACTCATCACCCATAATACTCTTCTATCCATATTTTTCCCCTAAATGATCAATAGCAACACTATGCTTCTGATTAGCAAAATGCAAGCATCCTTCATATAGGTGACTGTGACTTCATCTTCTCCAAGAAGGGGTGTCAAAAATCCCATTAGACACACTCTCATTATCTGGGGGATGTCTTCCTTTTGTAGTTCTGTCACAATTACACTTTGATATGCTGTAATCCATAGACTATAAGATTAAACACCATCCACACCATTTAAATGAAGATTAATAAATGAGAGAAGGACAAATTGGGCTAGTAGATTCAAATATATAATAACAAAGCAAGACAAAATATGCATAGCTTTTATAGCTCTTATTTCTACAGCTGGTCATGAGGTCATAGTATTTATATCTTCCTTTTTCCACCAGTATTTCAAGTTCCCCATGACCTCATTCAGGTGGTTGTGGTTGTTTACCTGGTGGGAAGATACAAACCTTCCTTCTCGATCAATCTCAGCCCTTAGTGGTCCTGCCTGCATGAGTCACTATAGTTTTCCATTAACTTCTATTATTGGACAAGGGAACACTAAGAGACAATCTCAGAGAATCAGTCTCCTAGGTTGCAGATATGGTCCTTCCTACCCCTACTGTGTAGCAGCAATTCTACTTCCCCTTGATAATCAGGAGCAATCAACCACCCAGTAACCCTCTTCTTTGTTGGTTCAGTGGTATGAGGGGCCCCAAATTGCCAGGTGGTAGTCTAACTTTCTATTCAATGGAACCAGTGTTGGTTCCCCTAGTGAAAGCTTTCCTCCCTGGGACCTTCACAGGGAGACAATATTGTGCAAAGAAGCATCACAAGAGGAATGCATTCTGTGGAGACTCACAAGTGGAAGACATTCATAAGCAGAGTCCTTAGAGGACACCACATGAGGATGAATGGGTTGGGGGCCCTCACAAGTGTAGATCTATGTGGGAGGAGACTAAGTACTAAGTTTCCAGGTTTCCAGACTAAGTACAGGTTGATCCCTGCTTGGTGGAAACCTGGTATGCTAAGTGATTTTTCAAAATAACACTACTGTATTTTTCTTTTAGGTATTTATGTCTATACTGTCACCAACAGAGTCCTAGAAATATCTGGTTAGGAGCTACTGCTGTAGTCCTTGTCTTTTGAAGTAGTAAAACCTCTTCTTCCTTTCCCAAATGTACTCATATACCCAAGATGGTGACTGAGGTTGGGGTGAGAAAGTAGATCCAGGGACACTACTTCAATAGCTATTGAACATTGGGTTCCAAGGTCCCTGCTCAGTAGTGGAAGGATTCCTCCATCATGTCTGACTTTTTTTTTGGACCGACTTTTTTTTTAAGGATTTTATTTATTTATTTGACAGAGAGAGAGAGCACACAAGCAGGGGGAGCAGAAGAGGGAGAGGGAGAGGGAGAAGCAGGCTCCCCGCTGAGCAGAGAGCCCGATGCAGGGCTCGATTCCAGGACCCTGGGATCATGACCTGAGCCGAAGGCAGATGCTTAACCGACTGAGCCACCCAGGTGCCCCCAGACTGACTTTTTGATCACTTTTTTTTTTTTTTTTTGGTCTCTGGGCTGGATCAAGACATAGAGAGCATGCAAATTGTGTTTTTGGATACAAAACTCAGAAGCATGGATCACTGACAGGCAGAATGACAATTCAACAGGATTCCGTAGCACTGGCCTTAGTGAGCAAGATGAAAGTCTTGACTATTGGTACACATCTGGAGGAATGGGTTTGGATGTGTGTCTGTGGGAGCACCTTTGAGAGGGGTTTGAGAGATACATATAGTTAGAATTACTGTCAAAGAAGAGTTGATGGGGCCAGGGGTGTTTAAATGGGAGAAGAGTTGATGAAGGGAGAACCCAATAAGCATTGTCATCTAATTTAGGGGTTGGCATATAGGAGAGGGATGATAGATTACCAGTGGGCAATAGTTAAAGGGAAACAGATTCTAACTCAACTGAAGAATGCATTTTCTGAAACTGCACCTGTCCACAGACAGAATGAGCTTGTACGGGACTGAGCTGGTCATTGCAAGTGTGTGATAAAGACTAGATGGCCATCTGTCTGCAATGATAACGAAGAGGAGGATGGACCCAAAAGAATAAAATATTCTTTATTAAGACCTGACTGGTCTAGAATTCCACACTTCCTTGCATGCATGATTTCTAGATTCTGCTATTTTCTTCTCTTTATATTTGATACTTCTTAAAGTATTTATTTGCTTTTGTAAATAATGGCTTTAGGGGCACCTGGGTGGCTCAGTCAGTTAAGCAACTGCCTTCAGCTCAGGTCATGATCCCAGGGTCCTGGGATGGAGGCCCACATCGGGCTCCCTGCTCAGAGGGGAGTTTCCTTCTCCCTCTGCCTCCTCCTCACCAGCTTGTGCTGTCTCTCTTGATCACTCTCTCTTTCTTTAATTAAATAAATAAATAAATAAATAAATAAATAAATAAATAAATAAAATCTTAAAAAAAAAGAGTGGCTTCAGGTAATAGGAGAAAATAAATTACACGGGCAAATACACCAAGTTATTACACTTTAAAAAAGGAAACCTTAACATTGACAACATTGACACATCTAATACTTCAACATTTATTATAATTGTGTACATTAATCTGGATTAAGCAAATGTGATTAAAAAACTAGACAATTAAAAAGAAGCAAAAGTATAATGCAACCACCTCTCTTAAGTCTGCAGAATTCTGTGCCTTTTTAGACATGAAAGAGGCTGTTCTGAATAGAAATCAATACTAATCTTACAAGCTTTCTATCAATTTCTTGCATATTGATTCTAAAACCCCTTTAAAGGCAGAGTGTATCTTAAAGGTGGAGAAGTCAGCCTATCTTGGACCTCTTTATCCTGTACTCCATCAACTGGGCCTATACTGATTCAGGGTTGGTACCTCTCACACTAAGGAGCAGCCTTTTTTTCCCTTTTACTCATTTATTCAGCAGATATTGATACCTATGTATCCGTGCCTCCCATGTGCTGAGTTCCATGCTGTGGGCTATACTTGAGGAATACCAGCTCATATTTAGTTTTGGTACATGACATATTTTACCACTTTTCCCCTCCAGAGCAAATCTAATGCACATCTATGCAAATAAATGGGAGTGTTCCTCTCTGATCATTTGGTGGGAAGACAAATCCACCACCCAGAGTGCACAGGACTCACAAACTGGAGAGAGATGGAGACATTTTCTAATTAAATCAACAGAAGAGACCCTCATTTTTTCATCAGAAAAACTCTCAGGTTGTTCTTTCTCTCAAGGACCTTACACAGTGATGCTGGTCCCAAAGGCAGAGGAGCTTAGTCGAACCTGAGCAGAGTATCAGCTGACTGCATGGATGGGCCTGCAATCTGTTTAGGCAGCCAACAGGTTTCTGTGTTCCAGGTACTTGGGACCCCAGTAGTTGCTGCTATCTTGGGGCAGTCTGTAGCGAAAAATAAGTTACTGAAGGCCCTGGACTCAGATCAGCTAGCCTCCTGGGGTTTCCCTGGGTTGACAAGCTCTTCTTTGGGAAGGTCTGTGAGTCAAATCTCTACCCAGCAGAGAAATCTGAGTTCAGCAGAGCATCTTAGTTCAGAATTGTTTTCATGGAAAGGGGAGGAGAGGGAAGGCGGTCAGTTGGCATTTGTGGTACTTTATAGGGAGACCTAGGATGCCCAGAGGAGAAGCATGATTTAATACTTTCATCTCTTTGTAAGAAGAGTATGCCTCAGGGGAGGCCTGAGGAGGGCAGTGTTACCTGGTAAAATGAGGTAACCTCCGCACAGTGCTTGGTATTGTGGTTACTGTTACTGAAGAGAACACGGGTTCTGGAGAGAGACAGCAATGATTCCACATAATGCAATGACCACCTTCTGAGCCTCAAGATCTTCATCTGTAAACTGGGGACAAGAATACCCTCTGCATAGGACTGGTATAGGAATGAATGCCATCACTTTGTGATAATGCCTGATACGTAGTAAGGCCTTGAGAAATGTTAACTGCTTTTCTCCCCTTTTAATCCTGCTGGAGTCTATACACCCTAAAACCTACTTTAGAAGATTTTCCTGTAACTATTGGGAATTGAGGGCAAAGGTATTAATCAACTATCAAAATGCAGACACAGATGTTTCTTTGGTCGGTGGCCTCCTAAGAATCACATCCTATAGAATTTAAACTTAACTGTGTGACTTTCTAATACATGCCCACATGCCTGCAGGAAAAAAAAAAAACCAACCTCAATTATAGTGAAAAGTGGGAAAGAGAAGATAATTAAAATCTGCTATATAATTCAATCAAAAGCAACCAACTACTTTTAAATGTGTATGGAAAGTTAAAATACAATCCAAATATTAGCCTATGCCAATCCCTAGCATTCAATGTCTGCAATTTACCCACCAGACATCATCAAGTCTTCAACCTGGCTCCTCAGAAGCTTTAGGGCATCTCCCGCTTTCAAGTCCCAAAGGTACACTTAGAATGTGGGTTTGCTCTCTGTCCCAAAAGTCAAGACACACTGAAACCCATGGTCCTGCTTATTGTACCAGGCCACCTAAACTCATCAGGAGGCCAACCTGTCTTAGGAAAGCTAAGATTAAATTCTTGTTCAATCCTTTTTTCTTGAGCCTGAAATAAGATCATGGACATAAAGTGCTTTCTAAGTTATAAAAAGCTACAAACACAAGTAATTATCATAGCATCATTAAGATACTCTACTGGATGTAAGCAGTTCAGCTTGAGAGGGGCAAAAGCATGAAGAAATCAAATGGGGAGGGATGAAGTAAGGGAAGAGAAGCCAGCAACTTGGGGCAACTGGGGATAGCCAAACTTGTCCAGGAGTCATCAGCTTCTTCTCAGCCTGGAAGAACTAAAAGAAAATAGTAGTAGCTATGAGACTGGAAATACACATCCAATCCAATAATCAGTCAGAGGTTCTTGGGGTTGATGTTTCCAGGCATTAGGGGTAATAGTCCGGATTAATGTGTCTTCTGGAGAGAAGGCAGAACAGGCTTGTAGCTGGTGGAGAGCCTGATTGCTACCCATTCCCATTGCCTTCAAGGTAGATATTCTGTTCTGTGCTTCTAGCTGAGGAGGTGCTAAGGAGGAGGGGCTGCCAAGATCTGGAAAGGCAGTGTCCTGTGGGCACCAGGCCCCATGCAGTTCAGACACTGGGGTCAATTCTGCTGGTGTTTAGCATGCAAAACTGTCTTCAAGCAGTATTGAAAATGCAGTCCAAAGGTGCCCAAGTAGCCCTTCCTGGTCAGGCCAGCCCCAGGATGGCACCATCCCCTCCCACACATGCCCCCTTATCCTGGCCTTTACCTGCTACTGGCCCCCCACCTGTATCTTGTTTTATTGAACACCTTGGTTTTGAGCCCTGGATTTGAATTCAAAGTCCTGGGTTAGATCCTGATTCTGTCATCCGCTAGCTAGGTGTTTCCCCAGGCCCTTTTCCTTTTCAGGTCTTTATTTGCTTGTCCTCAAATGAAGCTAACAACACAGGCCTGGCCATCATCCCAAGACAGCTGGAGGGCTCACCTGAGGTGGTACATGGAAGGTGTTTCTTGACAAGAAGAGACCATGACCCCTGCAACTTAGAAGTGTCTGTGGGGGAGGGTCTTTATCTGTGCTACCTAAAACTTCAAAGTCTCATAGGGCTTCCCTAAACATAAAGTTTAAGAGAGATAACAGTATCCTGGGTTGAGACTCAGGGGGAGACCAGGGCACATTTCTTCTCCCTAATAAGTTTCCTGGCTACTTGGCACCCACCTAGAAGAGCTTCTCATAGCATTTCCCACAATGGATGGTGTCACGGTGAATGAAGATCTGATCCAGGAGCTCACCCATTGGTTTACTGCAAATCCCACACTGAAAGAGAAAGCAAGCTAGAGGTCAACATGCAAATGAAGCAACATAAATGGGTGGAGTGTGGAGGGTGCACCTGAGCAGACACTGAGCTGATGGCACATCCTGGACTTTGAAGCAGACAATAAAGAAGGGTTAGAAAACCGAGACAAACCTCAAACAAAAAAACTCACACAAACTACCAGGTAGGATGATCACATAGTAGTTAGGAGCCCAGGTTTCAGAAATGGGCCTGGGTTTGAGCCCTAAATCCACTACTTATTAGCTGGGTGAGCTTGGGCAAGTTACTGAGGCTCTCTGAGCCTCTATTTCTTCATATATAAAATAGGCACAGTGGCAGGTTACCATGAGGATATAGTGAGGTAGTCCACATAGGGTATTCAACCTGGGGTCATACACAAAGTAAGTCATTGCTGTTATAGGAGGGCTGTGGGACTTTAGTTGTGATGTTTAAGGTCCAAAGAAGGTGATATGAAAATCTAATAAAAGGGAAGGCTATTACAGGAGTGTAGCTCTGCTTTCCTCATGACTCTTATACCTGTCACTCTAGTGGACACCTAAAGGACAAGAGTGGCCAGCTATCTGCAGCAGGCCTTCCTGCAGACAGTCTTGAATAAGAGGAGTCATGAGTCCCCAGGTGTCTGGGTCTCCAATGATTTCCAAGCCTGCCCTGGGCTAAGCCTTCTGCTCATTCAGCTCCCAGCCCTGCCAAGCCTCTGACATGGAGCACAATCACACAGAGATCAAGCCTTCTTTACACTCTGATCCATGAGGCTCCCTAACTCTGGACCATGTTAGCAGCACCACCGTTCTTCCTTACCTTAAAGCAGTAGTCATGGCAGCAGATGCCAAGATGCTCTAGAGTAATCTTTGGACAGTCTCTGATCTCCTGGTTGCAGTAAGTACAGATCCTTCCACTTGTTCTGTGAGATGAAAAACAAGAACTTGGCAGTCAGGCTGACATGCAGACTACTGGTGTGATGCAGTCAGACCTTCTGGTTTGACACAGCCAGGCCTAGATGCCCAGATTCTCAGCCTGCCATCTTTTCCTGTAGTGTGCAATTGGTTGCATATCCCTGGGCTGGACTGGGTCTCAGCCCATTGTAGACCCTCATGATATTTCCAGCAATTGGTCACGTAGCTTCACGCTACTTGCAAATCATATGAGGACCACAAGACCTCCTGGTATGATTCTTATTCCAGGCAGCTTGCCTCTCCCTGACCCTTTGCCTAGCATATTGGGGGTACTACCCCCCTCTAGAACAGGAAGACCCATGTCTTCTTCTACAGGAGACATACCCTTGCATGCCCTACCTGGCCCCCTGTCTTGATGACCCTTCTCTTCATGCCTGGGACCAGTAAACCTTGCCGCTCAGACCCTACACTCCAAGGACCATCACAGAGACAGTATGGCTGTAGAGCCTGCTGGGACCTCATGTTGAAGTTCTAGATTCTAACTTCTAGGCTGAGTATCTCCCCACTTTGAGGATCCCTGCCTTTGTTCCTGAGAGTCATCCCTGCTTTTCCTCCTCAGAGAGAACCTGCTGAAAGTGCCGGCCTGCCCTGATCCTTCAGGTGTAAATTGTGAGTGCTTTCTTCCAGAGATTTGAGTATGCTTTTGACAGGAGCTAGGGGTGGTGCTACCAACCTGAAGCCACATAGTCTCCTCCCTTCAAGGGCTCAGAATTACTGTGAGCATCTCAGGTTTGGTCCCTCCATCATGCTGATGGCCCAGGGCTCAGTCTCTTGACAGTGTTGCTAAAGACTCCTGCCTTCATCAAAGCCCTGTTCCCCCCTCCCCCATGTATTTTACCATCACCAGTTTCAGCTCACAGTTAGTCAGATAATACAGTAGAAACATCCCTGACCTAGGAGTAGTCAGGGACCCGGGGTTTAGTCCTGGCTCTGCCACTAACTCATTGTGTAACATAAGACATATTATTTACTCTTTCCAGGCTTGTTTCCTGCACTGTGACCTGAGTGAACTCCATCTCTAAGACTCCTTTCTCTTCTGTTTCAAGAATTTTAAAATAGGACTTCTTTATCATTAAGACCATCCTGTGACCACTGTCATGTAGTGACAGCTTTTGAAACTGCTGAATGGTAGCCTCATTCAATTCAAATGAATGGCTCTCTCTGGCTTCTTGATGATCGCAACCCATTTTTCTTAACTTTCCATCCACCACTCTCTTTTGTAGTTTAGTTTCTTTTTCCTTTCTGGTCATATGTGCAGGTTTATTAAGTGATCATTTACATTCTAATCCCAAGGCCTCTCCTGCTGATATGAGCTCCCTGGGCTTTCAGCCACCACCATTTCCCTTCTTAGCAGCCCTTTGAGTTTGCCTTCTGGTCTTAGCTGGGTTCAAAGGTTGCCACAAGTGTAACATCCCAATAAGGGAAGCATCATCCAAGTAGTGGTGTGACAGATCTGCAAGTGGATCAGAAGCAGCCAAGCATAAGACAAAAGCAAATGGACTTTGTGTGGAAATGTCCCTCAGCTGTTTCTTCTCTATAGACCTGAGAGCTCCCTGGTAAGATAGTAGACTTACCTCTTAGAGTACAAAGAGCTGTCACATGCAGGTTTCTTCTCCACGTCACATGAGTCCTCAGTGCATCTAATACTGCAGAGAGTGCGGTGGGGAAGAGGAGGGCAGAAGATGGAAGCAAGATGACTACCACGGTCATGAGTGGAAATGCTTTGTTAATATTATTAACCTTGTGGCCACAAGCTGAGACACGATTCTGCATGACCCACCATCATCTGTTATGCTGAGTGGCAGGGGAAGCTTTGAACTTCATGCCAGAGAGGCATAATTCTCTTGGAGAAGAGCCCTTCCAATGGGGGGCAAAGAATACCTGCCATGCTGAGGAAGATAAGATTTACTGATCAGTAGGATGGGATCAGGGCTTTTCTCCCCACATCCGTGTCTGTGTTACAATGTGACAGTCACCAGGAGCCCACACAGCAGAAATCAGACATTAGGAATGGGAACAAATAAAAGAAGGAAACATTCTAACATATTACCTGTGCTTGAGTTACAGGGGGGATTGAGGTGAAGTTTTTTTTAAATTTTTGTATCTTCATTTTTCAGTAGTATGACTTTTGATGATGAATACAAATGGTTAAAAAAATAAAATCCTATTGCCAGGAAAGTGTGACTATCTACAAGCCATGGGACACACGTTAGTGCTACTGACCAGGTTCTGTTTTTTTTTCTGAGCATTAAGTTTATCTCTAAGCTTCATGGAAGGTAAAGCAAAAGGAGAAATCACACTAGACTGTACAATCCTCCAATAAAGAAACTCTACCACTTTTTTCATAAGATATAACATCTTAACTGAATATAAAATTCAATTTTAAAATACATTTAATTGTCAGACTGTGTAAGAATTAAACTTAACAGAGTGGTGGGAATGGGAGGAGAAAAACCAGGAGATAGAGTACAGTCAAGTGACACTCATAGACACAAATGCTAGATGGCAAGGACAGCTCCCTGAAAAAAAAAAAAAAAAGCCATAGAGACGGAAAATAGATCAGTGGTGGCCAGGGGCTATGGCTGGTGGTGTGGGGGGTTGCTAATGGGTATGGGGTTTCCTTTTAGGGTGGTGAAAAAGTTCTGGAATTGGATGGTGATGATGGTTGCAAACATGGTGAATGTACTAAACATCACTGAATTATATACTTTAAAGAGTGAATTTTATGATATGTGAGTTGTATCTCAATAAAGTTATTGACAAAAACTACCCTAAGGAATTACAGATGAAGAAACTAAGGCTCAGGAAGACTGAACATCAAAAATGACCCAACCAATGGGGTCAAGCTGGGGCTTGAACTTGACACCTATGGTCATTATTCCACAGTACCAGTGAAAGCTGGTTCAGAATCTCCAGAGGCCCAATCCTGAAGTAAGGCCAGGGTGTTCCTCTCTGTTACTAAAATCCTCATCCTAGCGGTGAGATGATGTGTCATAAAAAAACATTCCCAGAGGAATGCTGTCTCGGTGCGCATTACTTTTTAACTGAGGTGGCATGAAGGTATCTTTCCACGTGGCATCACAAAGCAACCAGATGAAGAGATGATGACTGAAAAGTTACGCATATATCAGGATCTGCAGTCAAATGTGTGTTCAATGTGTGCAGTCAAACATGAGGCACCCTGGCATGCTGAAAAGAGAGGAGCCCTGTGCTCTGAAACATGATGGAATTAACTAGGTAAAAAGTCCCTAAGGGCCTTGTCAGCTCTGTAAAGAGCAATGCTCTCAGAATTTTACTAAAGAAAGCTTGTCCACCAACAAACAAAGCTAGGCAGGAGGGGATGGCACTGGAAGTGGGGTGTAGGATGAATTAATAGAGGGGGAACACAAAAGCACTGACTTAGGTAGAACAGCTTGAAATTCATAAATCATGTCTGTGGGCAATTACATCATTCACCCATTCAATAAATGATTATACAGAAACAACTCTGGGCCAAGCCCCAGATGAGGTACTGGGGATCCAGGATCATGGAAGGATCTGGGACGTGCTCTTACCTGCTGTAGCATGAAGACACTGGCTTCCCGGAGGATACCTCACTAGCATTCATGTATTCCTTCACAAAGAGAATCCCTTTGCTGTAGAAGGAGCACAGTAGAACAGAAAGAGGTATACTGAAAGATTCTAGGGGACTGGGCCTGGCCCAAAGGAGGGGTCCAGGGCTAGAAGGGTTCCCACATGGTTTGAAGGAAGTAAAGGAACTCATGGTAAATCCCGGGAGTAGAAGTGCTGATGGGCTCTAGCTACCACCAGGCAAGGAAAATGGCAAACAGGAGCTGCTGCCCACTGAGCACACCGTGGACTGGGCTGAAATTGAAGCCTGCTATGTGCAGATTTGAGAACCCTAGAAAAAGGCTCCCTGGAGCCAATGTCAATATGCTTTCCTTCTTCACGCAGATCTCTACGCTATGGGAGGCTTGTCCCCCACCTCCCCAGACTCTAGTACAGTGAACTTTCCATTCTCTCTGACTGCATTTTCTTTCCCTTTTATCTGGCCCAGGATAGCCTCCAAGCTGCAGACATAGACTGTTGGTCCTTGCCACTCTGTGTGAATCTCCACCAACAATCTAATCTCTCCCTTCTCAGTCCTAGATAGGTCCCTGGCAACAATGGAAGTCTGCCTCATGTTGGGCTCACCATGACCCTGAATTTGGCCTTTATCAACCTGGCTTGATGTTATCAGAGGGCCCTCTGATTTCCCTGCGCCACCCCCTCCTCAGCCTCCCTGCAATAGCTAATATGCAGGTGAGGCCAGGAGTGCAGGTGAAGCAGTGGGTGTGCACCTTCCCTACAATGAGTAATGGGAGAGAGACAGACATGGGCCCTGGCCTCAGTGGGCTTTCTCTGGCCTTCCCACACATGTTCCTCAAGAGATATTATTAGCAGGGTATTACAGATGGCAGAGCACCAGGAAGTGCCACCTCAGCTTCTCACTGGGGATATGATAAGACTGTCCAGGCATACAAACAGGACTTTATGTTGGGGAGATTTGGGCTACACTATGTGGCCCGTTGACCAATGGGATGCTGGGAGTTGGGGGTGGTACTAGAGCTAACATCAGGGAAGTGACATGGGATAAAAATCAAGTCCTTTAGCTCTAGGGAGGATATAGGCCAGAGAACACTTCCCAGGTTGTCTCTTCTTACCTGATTGAACTGGAGTCCAATTCACTTGGGGAGGCTGGGATGTAAACATGAGGCTGCTCAGTAGAGGCAGCGACGGTAACAGTGACCATACAACTCGAGGGGTTTCTCACTCTGAAGGAAGTAAATGGAGGGGTGAGTGTGTAAACATTGAGAGCTGACATCTTCCAGCATCAAGGAGTTTAAAAATGTGCCAATGTTTTTAAACAAGCCATGCAGATCACTGAGCTTGTGTTTTACAAGGTTCTTGAGATCAGTGAGTGTAACCACTTACTTTACAGATAAGGGAACCCAGGTGAAGTGACCAGGTAACACTGTGAGTCAGTGGTAAGACTTTAATTTTAGAGTATCCTTCCCCACTACAGCCAAAGGCCTTGGCCTGTGACTCACTTGGTCTGAGGAGAGCATGGGGGCTACCAGGGCCTTGACAGACACAGTCCAGCTCACCTCCTTGCTGGATGGGACAGCCCCTTCCTAGGATCAACTCTATCCCCTCATCCTCCAGAGAACTCTCTGGAGAAAAGAACACCAAGGGAGAGAGGAACAAATAAATTTAGGCAGCACCAAAGAAGAGACTTGGATGCACCTCATTTTGGAAGGCATTTGACATGAGCAGAGGCAAGAAACTGACACGTATGACGGTTTTTCTGAATATCCACCACTTGGCTGCACACACAGCTGTTGGCCTGGAATCTGACCTCCTAGCTGGCTCACAAGTTTTTTCTCTGACCAGGCCCTTACTTGCTCTCACTCTGCCCGCTGTAGGTCAGGGCATGCTGTTGGGCACCACCACTGCCCCCCCCCCATTGTGTGCCATCCACTTTACATATACCTACTCTCCAGTGGCCTTGGGACAGCTCTATGGGCACATACTGTCCTGGGCTGAATTTGGCTTCTTTCCAACATGTTGCTGCTCAGACCAACCTCTGAATGTGGCTGCTTCCACCTGGCCCAGTCTCTGGGGCATCCCTCCCTTGCTAGAGAATCCAGTGCCCAAGAACACAACTAGTTTAAGAGTGGGGAGGGGGGAAAACAATCATGATCTTGCATTTGCCTAGCTCCCCAGTCTCATCTTCTCAAACTTTGTCATATATACCTGAATCTCTAGGCATACTGACTGACTTTCTCATATCTTTGCACATAACACCACCTTCTCCTCTGGGAAGCCCTTCTGGAGTACCTGCTCTCTCACCCGAGGCTGGGTGAAGTACCCTGTTTCCATGTGCCCAGTCATCCTGTGCCTATGCCTATGTCACCTTATGATATAGGAATGAACCATGGAAACTGGAGGAGATGGACTAGCTGGGAGGGGAGGCCCCACGGGAACCTGGAAAGACAGATGATAGGGGATAAAATACAAAGCCAGAGAGTGAGAAGAAAATGACTGCAAGAGGAAGGAACAACTAGCAAGTGTCTGGCATTCTGGTCCACACCCAGCACAAGAGTTGAAGGGACAGTAGAACTGAGGGGGCAAGGTAAGAAAATATCCCATGGGGATCCTTCTAGGACTGCAACGTGAGCAATGACAGACCTCCACCAGGAGGGCTCCTGTCCCTGGTCAGGTAACATCCCATCTCCCTCCCATAGCCTACTCCTTCTAGTCTACAGGATCCAGCCCTGGCCCTGCCCACCTGGTCTCCTTCCCCCTCCTCACCTCACTTCCTACCCTTCAACCACAGAGCCCTTCTTTCAATCTCTTCTCCTCAACTCCCTCTCCCATCTTGGTCTTTGTACATGCTGCCCACTTGTGTCTTCCCAGGTTCTCTTCCAGTCTGGCGGCTCCTTGTGCTTCAGGTTTCAACTGCACTGTCCCCTTCTTCGCAGAAAAGCTTTCCCTGACCATCCTAGCTACAATACCCCCTGTCCCGGCCTCTCTCCATTAGAGGACCCAGTTTCCTTCTTTTCTGGGCTTATCACAAATGGAGAGGCAACAGATACAGCACAGTGATAAGTAGTACATGCTCTGGACTCTGCTTTCTAATCCCTGTTAGGCCACTACCTGGCTGAATGACTATTGGCAAGCTGTTCAACCTTCCTCTGCTTCCATTTCTGTTCTGTAGATCTGAGATAATAATAGTACCCCCCCATATGGTTGGTGTGAGAATCAAGTGAGTACACACAAAGCACAAGAACAGTTTCAAATTCATTTTTAGTACACAGCAAATGCTAGTGGTTATCATTACGGTATTATTGCTATAGTGTTTATTTGTGGGTGCACCACGTGCTCCCTTGCCTTCTTGTTCAATGTGTATGTGGCTGCTACCTACAACTGGCTCACAGGAGACACTTATATACTGTCTCTAGGCCCATAGCTCTTGGTTATTTCTAAACTCATGGCCACCTTGGGGAAAGATCTCCAGAGAGCAAAGGGACCACACAAATGTTGCCATGCAAGGCCACCCTGGCTGGCAGTGGTGGCAGTGGAAGAGTTCATCCAACATCATTTATCTCTGGGGAGCTCCCATCCACACCAGGACACACCTTCCTCAGAGACCTTCCATCTCCATTAATGGCAAAGGCATTCCATATCCTCTCCTGACCCAGGTTTTCATGCTCCAAAGGGCTGCCAGAAAATATGATACTCTGTGCACTTTCTCTGTTCCAGGCTTGGTCTAACAGACCGGATGCTATAGCTCCAAACTGAAGCCCATGAAGACCTACCCCTGGGGCATTCATTGCTGGTCACCTTCCCACTACTTCCTAGCCACTCACAGCTGCAGAGAGTAACAGATTTGCCTAACATGTTATGGTTTGTTCTGCATGGTGGCCCATCAAAAAAACCTGGGCTGTAGCAGGGGCCCAGCACAGCATAACCCTTACCTGGTGGCCTGGCTGTCCAGTTCCACAAGCTGCTCAGGTCTTCTGGGGCTGCTCTGTGGCTCTGGGGTCCTGGGGGCTGCAGGCTGCTGGGAGGGTACAGCTGGGTCTCCCTGGCCACCTCTCAGGGCTGTGGGCTTCTCCTGCAAGGTCTCTCCCACCTTGGCAGCCACATTCTTCTCTTCAGAGCCAGCCAAGGTGCTGAGGAAGAATAAATATCCTTATGGAGCAAGTACTTTGGGACCAGTCCTTCTTTACCCACTGCCTGCTGATGTTACCTCCTGTGGCCATAGTGGGCTCCTCTTCCAGAAGATGGGGAAGAGAAGAGCCCAGCATGGCCCCCATCACACGGAGACCAGTCTTTCTCATCTTTGGGAGAATCCCAGTACCACTGCTCCTTTCCCACTTGACAAAGACTCTGAGAATACATGATGACTTCAGTGAGGTTTTAAAAGACAGTCTTCTAGCTGGAAACAAACAGTGGCATTCCTGTCCCCGTCCTCCCACTGCCATCTTTCTTTTCTCCAAGCCTTCTCAGTCCCAGTCTGTCTGTCCTGCCTAAAAAGCCTCAAGCCATCTGGTTTTCTCCCCAGGCCCTGGTGCTCAGAAGACTTAAGAACACAGGCAGCCGCACAGGGGCCCAGCTCTCTCAGAAGGAGCTTCTCCCCTAGGCTCCCCTGGCGGGCTGGGTGAGGGTGACAAAAGGGAAACAGTACCATTATGCTCACTAATTTTCAAAGAGGCTGGTGACCCCACAGTGGGTCACCAACCCCCAAAGACTCCCAGCCAGACCAGAAATGTGTGACTCAGCCCATTTGTGATCCTCGCGCGCCATCTGGTGGATAGTGCGGGACAAGACTGCAGCTTAAACCATGCCAAGCTCCATCTTGCCCAAGGCAGCCATTTTCCTTATTGATGGTCACATTTCCCAGCTGCACTGTGGTTGGAGCTCTTGGCTGCAGGAAATGGCGGTACACGCGGATGCACACGTGCTGAAATGTGTAGGAGCTCAGCACATGCACAAGCAGGCACATACGTATTGTTGTGGCAGCTTTATTTTCACAGTTAGGAGTATTTGTCCTTTATTGCTAAGTAATCACAGCTATTATTACGAGGCAATCGCATTTTCATCCCCTTTTTACAGATGAACAATCTGGGGTGAGGGTCCCTTTGCAGCTCATAAATAGCAATCAAAGGGTGCCTGGGTGGCTCAGTGGGTTAAGCATCTGCCTTCTGCTCAGATCATGATCCCAGGGTCCTGGGATCAAGCCCCGTGTCAGGCTCCTTGCTCAGCGAGGAGTCTGCTTCTCCCTCTCCCTCTGCCTACCACTCCCCCTCCTTGTGTTCTCTCTCTCTCTGTCTGTCAAATAAAATCTTTAAAAAAAAAATGGCAATCAAGATAGAACTTCAGTTCCCTCCCGGGGTTCAGTCTGACCATATAGCCAGCTCTACACTTCCATCACTAAGTGGAGATGGAACTGGGGTGGAAGCAGAGCAAGAGTTCATTACTTCAACGTCCCAAACAAACAAACAAACAAACAAACAAACAAACAAAAAGGCCCTTCTCAACTTCAGTTTCCTCCCCCACAACAGCCAAACATTATGAAAGAACTGTCTACACTCACTCTTGTGACTTCTTCATTCCTTTTTCCTTGTCAACTTTCCCCTGAAGCTACTACTGCTTCCCAATATCCCAAATTATCTGTGCCTAGCGCCACTATGTGGTCCTTTAGGCCCCTGCCCCCAATGGGGGCTCTCCAGGATCTCGGGGATCAAAAAAGCAACCATTTGAAGCTGAAAAACTAATTTGAATGCTCTGGATATTTTATCCAGGTAGACAAACCTTAGAGACACCCCAAGGGCTGTTTCTCCTTGGTCCGTCACTCCAAACTTAGTCTACAGTCTCCATAAGATTACTATCAGGACAAAAACATTTCTTAAAAGCTTCCTCTACAAATATTAGTAGGAAGCTTTAGCCTTCATGTTGATCAGGTAACCTCAATTTGTCCCATCTGCCACAAACACAACTCTCATAAAAAAATTAAGTGGGGCAAAGATGAGAGACAACACTTATAAAACCAGTGAGTTTCGTGGTTGTGTGTTTATAACTGACTCATGGCTGAAAATTTAGAATTAAAGCCATGAAATCTCTCTTTTTGTGTCTATCTGTATGTTTATGTATATATGTATGTTATATATGTGTAATATTTTCCTATCTCTGGGAAGTATACCAAATTCACTTACAAAGTCCCTTATCCTCTATTCCAAATGACTTAGAGATAAATAAGCACTTATACAAATTATTCCTAAGACTTTCATAAATTAAATAAATAAATTCTAAACTTTGAGTATAAAAAACCAGCATTCTTACAAAAATTAACCCAAATGTTTTAAAAATTCAAGGTCAAAACATTTAGCTAAATCTTTGGCAAATAAGACTAGTTTAATATTCCTAGTTTAATAAGAACAGTTATGTCTCATGAGTTATCAACCTTACTACAAGCACATATTTTTATTCTACTTGAGTATAATCTTCCTAAACTTAATGGGTTTACTAGCGCAATAAGCTAGTATTACATCTACTAGGTGTTTAAGATTACAAAAATATACATTTGCTTTTAATCAAACTGAGTCATTATTCTGACAAACTCTATTTCAACAGTAATTATGTTTTATAATATGTCAGCTTAAAGACAGTTTCCAAGATCTTTTTGGAAATTTAAAACCTTAGATTCATGCTAAATTAAATTAAGAGATGCTCACTAAATACCTAGATCATTTCAAAGTAAGATAAAATACTTACTAAGTTACATTAGTTACTAAGCCTAAGTTTAAGTTTGTATACTTTTTGCTGCTTATTTTTTATAGTACAGAGAGGCTGTAGATAGATTTGTTAATAAATGTCTTCATTTGTCCACACTGAAAAATTATATTATAAAAAAGTATGTAACTATAAAATTTTATGAGATATATATTCATAAGCTTTACTAGTCTACTGTAAAATGCTGGTGCATGACAAACAGGTCAAAATGATCTACCTCCTAGTTTTCTCTGTAAAATAGAAGTTACTAATAGTTAAAAATTATAATCAGTATGTATAAATGAGACTACTAAAAGTAATAATGGCAAAGGAGAACAACTTTGTATGCAAGGTATGCAAATATATTTTTGTTATATAAATATATGTTATAATATATTTTTATAAATATAAATACATTATATATAAATAATATATTTTTGTAAATAGAAGTTTTGTCCTAAATTAACCAGTGGTTCCAAAAGTTTTGCAAGATGAAATGTAAATGGATATTTTTAAAATTATAAAATGTTTACAGAAAATAAATTTTATTTGTTGTCAAAATTTACTAAAGCTTAATGAGATTATTTGTAATATTTTCAAAAAGAATTCTAGTATCAAGTATTGCACTGATACAAAACTAAAATTTGGTTTTCTCTCTGTTAAAATAACAAGATTTTCTTGGGGTGCATGGGTGGCTCAGTTGGTTGAGTATCCGACTCTTGATTTCGGCTGAGGTCGTTATCTCAGGGTCGTGAGATTGAGCCCTATGTTAGGCTCTGCGCTCAGTGTGGATTCTCTCTCTCTCTTCCTCTGCCCCTCCCCCCCAATAAATAAATAGAATCTTAAAAAAAAGGATTTTCTTGGCTCATTGGCCTGATCCTAATAAAAGATTAATGGTCTTTCTTTTTTCCTCAGTAATCTTTTTTTATTTTATTTTATTATGTTATGCTAATCACCATACATTACATCATTAGTTTTTGATGTAGTGTTCCATGATTCATTGTCTGTGTATAACACTCAGTGCTCCATTCAGTACGTGCCCTCTTTAATACCCATCACCAGGCTAACCCATCCCCCCACCCCCTCCCCTCTAGAACCCTCAGTTTGTTTCTCAGAGTCCATAGTCTCTCATGGTTCGTCTCCCCCTTCATTTCCCCCCCTTCATTTTACCCTTCCTACTATCTTCTTTTTTTTTTTTTTAAGATTTTATTTATCCATTTGACAGAGAGAGACAGCGAGAGAGGGAACACAAGCAGGGAGAGGGGGAGTGGGAGAGGGAGAGGGAGAAGCAGGCCTCCCGCAGAGCAGGGAGCCCGATGCGGGGCTCGATCCCAGGACCCTGAGATCATGACCCGAGCCGAAGGCAGACGCTTAACGACTGAGCCACCCAGGCGCCCCCATCTTCTTTTTTTTTAAAACATATAATGTATTATTTGTTTCAGAGGTACAGGTCTGTGATTCATCAGTCTTACACAATTCACAGCGCTCACCATAGCACATACCCTCCCCCAGTGTCTGTCACCCAGCCACCCCATCCCTCTCACTCCCCACCACTCCAGCAACCGTCAGTTTGTTTCCTGAGATTAAGAATTCCTCATATCAGTGAGATCATATGATACATGTCTTTCTCTGATTGACTTATTTCGCTCAGCATAATACCCTCCAGTTCCATCCACGTCATTGCAAATGGCAAGATTTCATTCCTTTTGACGGCTGCATAACATTCCATTGTATATATATACCACCTCTTCTTTATCCATTCATCTGTCGATGGACATCTTGGCTATTTCCATAGTTTGGCTATTGTGGACATTGCTACTATAAACATTGAGGTGCACGTACCCCTTCGGATCACTACATTTGTATCTTTGTGGTAAATACCCAGTAGTGCAATTGCTGGGTTGTACGGCAGCTCTATTTTCAACTTTTTGAGGAACCTCCATACAGTTTTCCAGAGTGGCTGCACCAGCTTGCCTTCCCACCAACAGTGTAGGAGGGTTCCCCTTTCTCCACATCCTTGCCAATATCTGTCATTTCCTGACTTGTTAATTTTAGCCATTCTGATGGTGTGAGGTGGTATCTCATTGAGGTTTTGATTTGGATTTTCCTGATGCCTGATGCAAATGACATATCAGATAAAGGGCTAGTATCCAAAATCTATAAAGAACTTATCAAACTCAACACCCAAAGAACAAATAATCCAATCAAGAAATGGGCAGAAGACATGAACAGACATTTTTCCAAAGAAGACATCCAAAATGGCCAACAGACTCATGAAAAAGTTTTCCTCAGTAATCTATTGTGAAAAATAATGAAAGGAAACCTCACTAAAATGGAGTCAGGAGGCCAGAAGTGGGAGCTCTCATGCCCTACCACTCCTTCACGCCCTTTGCAAAACCAA